TTTAACGCTGAATCTGTCGGGTATCACGTGTTCGATTCTACATAGCTAAGTGAATGGAATACACAATAGCATAGAACAATGAAGCTAAGAGATTGAATTAGTGACAATGAAGAAAGAAATGGTCCAGCGATGGAGCCTGCTGGAGCTATGCAGCATTTTGGGGCAGTCTGGAACTCGGCCGCTGCTGTTCGCCTAAGCTTGCTCAGGTCGCAGACATTTACACCTCACTGTACACTACTCGCCATCCACTATTACACACACTCATGGCCTGCCCAAGCCTTGGTGCGAAGTTAGCTTCGGATACAGGTAAGTACCTTTGCTTTCTAGTTTGCTCCCATATAATTTATTGTGATAGAACACATTCCACGTGGCCATATTGAGGCCCGACCTACGTCTGCCCGTCGAAGAAGCTGCTATGGGCCCCGGCCAGGACGACCTTTGCAAGGGCAGCTGTAGGCCTTAACACTATCTATACTATCAATATTCCTTTGAAATATTGTTAAACAACCTAAAACAACGAAAACCAATTCACGATTCTAAATAAACAAAATCCAAAGTCAAAGCCAGAGTCTAAATATGTATAAAGGAAAGGAATACCAACCAAATCAACAAAACCGATCCAAGAAAATACACAAATCCGAAAATGAAAGCCAATATAAATCCATTCAACCTTAACCAAATCACAAAGCAAATAACAAACAACCGAAATCGAAAGCAGGTAGTCGAATAAGCTACGAAATAGAAACAATTTAAGCGTATAGGTACCGTATGCACTATAAGTTGACGCGCGGCTCAACGGTGGGAGTTAAGTACATATCAGGAAACATTTCGTTACCGCGTTTTAAAAACCTAGTAACGACATCTAGCGAAATCAATTTAAACTATGTATACGTTAGTTAATAAAAACTCAAAAAATATTTTTCTTATAATTTTGCACAATTTTTCTTATTGTAATACCGATTTACTCATAACCACGTATAAGAATATGTATAAGAACTGTATTCATTTCCGTTCAATAAATATTACTAAGGCTTATTAATAAGGCTTACTAAGAACTGTTTCTACTACAGTTAAGTAATAGTTAAGGGTGAAAGCGTGACAGGTGGTGATAATATTTCTGATCCATACTTATAATCACGCCTGTAACCCTTGCGGGGTAGGTAGAGCATCAACGGATTACTTAATATCGTCTGCGAGGTTATCGCCTATTCTGTGAATTACATTGCACCAAAACGTTTGAAGAAAATCAGCTGATGAATTTTATGTTTTTTATCGCTCTCTTCCCGGTCCTGCGTGGAAAAATACAGATCCATACATTTTTTATCTTAATTTTGGTAAAAAGACATAATAATCCAGATATTCTGACCTTCTGCGTTCGTTTATCGTACCGTCGTCCGTCTTGTAGAATTACGGTGGCGCCACCTAGCTGAATTTAATTTTGCAACATATTCGATTTTCCCACGGGAATGAGATGTTTTTCCGCGGAAAAAAGTAGCCTATGTCACTACAGCCACTGAACTATCCCCATACAAAAAATCATGCCATGCCGACGCTCTGTTGCGACGTGAAAGAAGGACAAACAAACAAACAAACACACTTTCGCATTTATAATATTAGTATGGATTATACGCGAGCAAACTATGCCCGTTTAAATTGTTTCATTCGCGGCAGCATAATTACCTTTTGTAAATCCATCGAGTAGTAAACTGTACGTACTTGAAACAAATATCTTTGCTTGTTGTAACCACAGTGGAGGAAATCATTTGCAATATCATAACGCAATTGTAGGCGCCGCACTTACAAACCAATAGTAGGATACATACTGCTGTATTAATAAATAAGCTTTGTAATAATTTCGATCATACTGCTCTTACCATAAGTGAATTTATAAGTTCCCGTTGAAATATTAAAATGAGTGTCAGACTATATCATAAAGTTCATTACGCTGATTCCGTATCTATATTTAGCTCAGTTTGTCCAAAAATCGGACTTACTGCCATTATCGCAAGCACGGCAGATTTATTGCGTTACGTTGTAGGTAGATTCACGTATTACGGCCTCCAGCTGCCCCTGCAAAGGTCGCCTTGGCTAGGGCCCATAGTAGCCTCCTCGACGGGCAGCCGAGGGTTCGGGCCCAAACGGCCTTATGGACAAATGACCTATCATACTACACAATAGGGGGAAGGCTAGGAAAATAAATAGTACGTACCTGGTTCCGAATCTAAGACCACCCCAAGGCTCTGTCAGGCCGTAGGTAGGGTAGGTGCATGTAAAGTGGTGTTTGTTAGTGTGTAAATGTAGGTGACCTGGCTCAGCTGAGGTGACCGGGCAGCGGCCGGTTTCCATGCTGCCCCACAATGCTGCATCACTCCAGCAGGCGTCACCAATAGACAATTTCTTTCTTCATGTCACTATTTCAGTCTATCAACTTTATTGTACATTTAACTAACTTCAACTCAACTAATTCAACGTTCATCGTAGAATCAAACACGTGACACCCGACACAAGTAACGAACAGTAGTTCAAAGTTCAACATTCAATGTTCCGGATTCATTTATCACCACATTACCAATAGGGAACTAACGCGATCTTTTCATGAGTCACAAAGTTCAGCGTTACAAACCACAACTAAACTCCTTCGTTCGATATTAAAAACTACGCCGCAATAAGAATTCAAAATCAACTTTCAAACGAAATTACTTTAATCAGTCAAATACAATACAAGCCTCTTGTCACAAACTTAAAACTTAGACAAACTAAACCGAAGCGGTTTTCACGAAACCACAATTACGTAGCGAAGTAACGCGCACAAATTCTAAAAATCTAGACATCTGCAGCGGTCACTGAAATACGCTAATTGACTGCACCGCTGTCCGCGAGCTACTGTCGTCAGCCCGCGCGTCGAGCGACTACTCGCGCCACGCGGCCGCCCCCCTCGCCGTCGGCGTTACCTCACCTCGACATTATCGGGTGATTCGCTAAGTCCAACGTGATTGGGTGGCGTCTCAAATGACCATTTTTGGGCCTAAACATCACGTAATAAAACTGTTCTTAAAATACCTAAGTCTTTCACAGCTTACCTACAAATAAAATAATACACAATTATGTCAATACAATCCCAATTAATAATACATACTGTTAACTGTGACAACATTACCATACTATTTGACTTTTTTGCAATATACTCCAACATGGAGCAAGTTGTTCTAGTTTTTACTGATTTATTTTGTAAAAATTGTATCTCTCTTTTGGTTGAACCATTGAATTTTACTAAATCTCACATAGAATAGCTGTAATAATCAAGAGTATGAGATGGGTAAAATTGACACATTTTTGGCAACTTTACCTAGCCTACAGTTTTGATTAAATGGTGTACCAGAGTGCATGCGACGTAAAGTTACCAATGGTCCTGGCGCTAAAAAAGCGATATATTTATTTTTGAAGTTACCATCTTCGTTTAAATAAACACTACCAATATTTAGCTGAGGTTGCCCCAAGAATTTCAAAATTGTTATAGAAATGGGTGGATGTTAGCAGGGTTGTCAAAAAATAATAAAACATTAAATCATTCTTTTGTAATTAGCGTGGAACCAAAAAATAAGAATTTTTGTTTATGCATTACAGTTTAACACGTTAAACGCCGGCCAAAAATGTGCGATTTCCGTTTAGACCATGGGGCCACCATTTGATCTAGACTAAAATTCTCCGTTCAGGCCATGGGGGATACCATGTAACCGCAATCTCGTGTTCACTTTAAACCCTTCTGGCAGGCCAACGGACATGTTAACTTAGTTTTTTTCAATACAATGGGACCCGTCTCATTAGAGACGGGTCCCATTGTATTTTCTTTCTTCTAATGCGTTCTGGGTTTTCTTTCTTCTAATGCGTTCTACTTGGTTTTCGAGTAACGGAAAAACTTAGAATTCTTTAAAGGATTTTGTATGGCAGAACTTTGCCAACTGTCGGACACTGCATTCAAATTTGTATGAAGTGTCCGACAGCAAAATCAAATGTGAAACAAAAAAAGAAGTTTCATAAAGTTTTTATTAGTCAAAGAGACAGGAATTTTTTGTGGGCGCAGCCACAGCAGCAGCTTGTTTAGTTGCTAGTAAATAAAAAAAAAACTTAAATATATGTTTCTAAACAATACTTATAAATTAAATCACAAAATTAAAGAAGTCGCAGTGATCTAGGAACCGAAATCGATGATTAGTCGATCAATCGAGATCATATTATCGTAGTATAAAAAATTCAAAAACAACACACTTATCCCTTGTGAATCTTATGAAAATAGTCGAAACAAAAAAAATTGGTTGTTCTGGACACGTTGCACAAAATATAACCACTTTTCTGGTTTTATTTTTCGCCTGTTTTCGTCCCATGGCGTTTACATTTATCTTGTAATAATTAGCGCACGATCGGTGGCACTTTTTTCTTGGTCCATCTTTTTGTTACAATCTATGTTTTACCCTTTTTGGTTACGAGTCTTGAACAGTTTTTTGATTCTCCTCTATTAGGCCAGTAGTATTTGCTTCCTGAATTCTACGATTTGCATCCGTCTTCCTGTCATTTAATACAGAACTAAAACATTGACCAACGCAGTGTTTAATAGTAAGTTTATGGCAAGCTTCTTGTACCATTTGACACTTTTTCGTAATGGTGTGCAGTAGGCCGTCACTTGATCGATTAAACCAACCGCTCCTTTTGCCTTGTTATAGTCGAGGACTATATGTGGCTTGAAAGACACTGTGCGAGCCTTTGTTGACAATACCCTCCTAAATTTATTAGTTTGCTTAGTTGAAAGAACATACACATCTCTCTTGTCTTTCCATTTCAAAAATGTAATCCCATCGGCACTTTCCATGGCAATGTGCTCTCCGCGCTTCAGTTTCGCAGTAATGACTTTTCTAGCTAGATGTTTCCGATTCTTTCGTATAGTACCAACCAGATATGTTTCTTTTTTCAAAAGTTGTCGCGCTAAATCAACGCTTGTGTACCAGTTATCGGTATACAAGGTGCATGGCCTTTGTCGAACAGATACATAACAACGTTTCTGGTGTAGTGTTGGTCTTGCCGTTTTCCTTTCCCGCATAAATTCTGAGTTTGTACGTATATCCAGGTAATGTGCAAAGTTTAAATATTTTAATACCATATTTGTGGCGTTTTTGTTTATTGTACTGACGAAAAATCAGTTTTCCACGGAATGGTACAACGCTTTCGTCAATGCATAAATCTTCACCTGGTATGTAGTTCTTCTTGAAGTTTTCATTCAATTTATCTAACAACTTTGAAACTCTGTGTAGATGATCAGACTTAGTAGCTTCATCTTGTTGTGAAAAATGAAGCATTTGTAGCAAAACCTCAAAACTATTTCTTGACATGATTGTTCGTGGAAATGTATGTCCAATTATTTCATCCTGCGACCAATAGTCAGATAATTTAGGAAGCTTCACCAAGCCCATATATAAAATCAATGCAAAAAAGCACTTCATCTCAATTACGTCCGTTGAAAACCAATTACGAATTCGTGATTCCTTTGAAGCTTCTTTGGCGGCTATCTTATTTATAGCAAACTGATTCGTATCATCCACTATAGGCTGAAAAACAGCGTCATCCACCATAAGCGAGAAGAAATCATACCGATAAGAATTTTTAGCAGCAGCACGAAGATCAATGGGGAGACCAGAATTTTCAGTAAAAGCAATAACACGGCGCTGGTTTTCTTTTGGCCTCGTCCATGTATCGCGTTGTGCATCGTCCGTAATGGCAACTAACTATACTTCCCAAATCCTCCGGCTCACTTTCTTCACTATCGAGCACCATCACACGCCGGCGGCGCTTATGTGGAACAATGAACCCGCATTGTCCGAACAGATTTGAAAACTGTCGTTCAACAAATTCAATTCGATGTTATCAATTTCTTCCAAGTATTGTCGACTTATCTCAAATTCCACAAAGTCGTCCATTATGTAGGTAATATCAAAACTAAACGCATAAATTGAATTAGTAATTACGTATCGTATCGTAACTAAACAAACTTATAAGAAACAAATTATAGAAATTAAAACAGAACTACAACAACATTAAAACAAAACTAAAAACAGTATACAATCAAATACTACAAAAAAATTTCGTTAAATAGTAAAAAAAATCTCTAAAAACTAAAACGACATAACACAATAGCATCACTTCAGAGTCATTTTTGTAACTTCGCGCTCCCAAACCGTCTTCTATTTCTTTGTTTGACACGATTTATGGAGGCATCTTGAATATATCTGAAATAAGTAATCAGGCAAATTTGTTACTTATGTATTTGTTTCACACCAAAATAATTCATAAACAAATAGAAAAAAAATCGATAGGCATTATATTTAAAGTTACTGTTCTGAATAACTGAAGAAAATTTTAAAACGGTTCCCACACAAAACCAGATTACTTATGCGTGCCAAATTTGATAACTCTAGTCACAGGTAAAGTTGCCTTAGTCAGCAGGGCTTCCCAAACTTATTTTTACTGTGACGCCCTTGGGAATTCGCCATTTTTTTGCCTCTGGCCAAAAAATACCTATCAGTTGTAGTTCTAGCCTGGTAACAAGTAACCAGAAAAACTCCAAATAACACTTAAGTATAATTTTTATTAAAAAATGAGAAAAATAACAAGAACAAAAATGAAAAGTGATATATTGTTGACTGGCTACTAATGAGAAGGATGTGCTTGCTTTTATGAGCATAGCTTCTCAAAACTTGGCTCAAGCTTGTAAATTGCCACTCTCATCTCTTTCTCTACATTTATTTTCGATCTGTACTTGTTCTTTATTAGCAACTGTTAATGTGTTATTTCGCAAATGGTAATAGAAATCTCAATGCTGCAGTGCCTATGGCACGATATTCGTGAGAAACTGAGCTCCAAAATTCAAGCAGTTTGTTTTGTCGTATTGGAGCTTAAGGCTGGAGTCACAGGACAATTTTATTTGTTGTTCTTCTGCGATTGTTGTGTTGATGGTGAGGTCGACTGGAAAGGGCTTGTAACCCTGTCATATTGCTCCAGATTTTCGGGAAAATAGTTTTTGAAATGGTCCCTTAACGATGACAAATGCTGTGTAAATATTATTTTTAGAGAGGGATCCAGGCGTTTTATCGATTTTCTTGTAGAATGCCTTGTAAAGGAGGGAAACAGTCGGTATGTACTTGATCTTCTTCTAATTTTCTCCCAGAAACCTAGTGATTTTATGTACCAGTTGTAGTATGTGAATTTGTTTCTCTGCAAGGACTTACTAAGATCCTTGTGGCGGCGCTGTCGTCGCGTCACAAGCGAAAATACATCGAAGCCTAAATCGCGCTAACAAAGTTCTGAAGTTAAAGCAGTATAATATATAGAATAGCTCCGAACTACCAGTAGGAGCGTTGGCCGCTCCCTGGGCAGAACACCTTGCCCGGCGGGTGATCTCCCTTTTCCCTTCCACCCGCTACAGTGGTAATCCCGACGTGATCAGAACACGCAACCACTAACTTTCGGAAAATATAACGTCAAACCTTCGTCATCGTCCTCAAGTACCCCATTCGTTCGCTCCCGAGCAGATATTGTCTGCAGTCTTCATATTCTGCAAGCCATCTAGCTTTACAAAGGTTCATCGCAGCACTGAAATAACAATGCTTCCTGTTCCTTCAAGCTACTCTCTGCGCTACAGTGTTCGGCACGGCTCTGACCCTTACTACTCGCCTCTGCTTCACGGCAGTCTCGCAGATCACTTGCCTTCTCGAGTCACCGCAGACTACAAGGCAATCCCTGGCACTTGCTCCGGCTCATCGTTCTCACCGACATCACTTGCAAGTGCGTAGTACGGCATCCTTTACACACCGGCATATTGTTCGCACCGGCGTCACTTGCCTTTACGCACACATCATGCATTCCCCACCGGCATTAAGGACGCACCGGCAATCGGACTGTACTATCGACCTCCGGTCTGAGCAGGGGGATGATGTAGCGGCTCTGTCGTCGCGCCACAAGCGAAAATACATCGAAGCCTAAATCGCGCTAACAAAGTTACGAAGTTAAAGCAGTATAATATATAGAATAGCTCCGAACTACCATTAGAAGCGTTGACCGCTCCCCGGGCAGAGCACCTTGCCCGGTGGGAGATTCCCCCTTTTCCTTCCTACGGTTACAATCATTTAATTTTGAAATATGTCACAGAGATATGCCAATTTTATTATAAACTCTGTATTAGTAAAGTTATGCGCATCATTGTGTGATTAAGTCTGTAGATAAGTGTATAACTCATTTCGTAATTCGTGTACACGTGCACATTGCCTTTGGACAACCAACGAGAGTTGTAATAATAAATTAAAGAAGTATGCTCAGCACCCAATTCTTCACAAAGCTTATGGTAAAATCTTGTTTTCACAGGTCATGTTTTAATGTAGTTCACCACGTTGATAATTATGTCCATCACCAAATTTAATTCAGTTGTAATATTTTTTGCAGTTAAGGCCTCTCTGTGTATGAACATAATTGACCACAGTGAATGAAAAACTAGGCAAGTGCGTGTCAGGCCACGCATAATGTAGAGGTAGGGTTCCGTAGTTGCCCGTCACAATACGTGGGCTTCCTTGATAATGAGCATAGTAAGTGAGTTTGCGGTTTGATCGCTATAACGACTAAAAATGGGCCCAGATAGGAAAATCGTAACTGAAGGACCTATTTACAAATCAGCCTTATATGGAATGGTATTAAAAAAATATTAAAAAACTTTTTCGATTTTGATAATAATACCCTATCTATCCCGCAAATGAAAAAGTAAAGCTAATAGTAGTAATGCATATAAATCGTTTTCTTCATAAAATGTCTATTTTTAACAGTTTACAATAACATAACAAAGTTATTAATGCAGCTAGTTTTAGGTCATTTTCTATGAAGTTGTAACGAAATTTTTACTAATCCAAGTGCATTTTATGAGTTGGTCGACTATTACTCGTTAACTTCTTAATTCTACTTAGCTGTGATAGTTTTTCTCTCAACTTCATCATACAACGTGGCCGCTACAATGGTGACTTTAATTTAATACACGGATAGGACTAGTGTTCATTAATCATATTAATTTTGATAGTGTAAAATGAAACGTTTCTTATGCTTAAATACATTTAATTCACTTGTATAATCAACTGTTCATTATACCTCAATACATTCAATCACTTTAGTTTCATTTAATACAACACTTAACTTATTATTCACAAGACCCGTCGCACACGTCGACGCTCGGATACGTAGTGTCGTGTTTCGGCGCGCCTTGGCGGCGACAGCCCGCTCGGCATTGCTCGCGTGATTCCGGCAACGACTCGTAACATCGGTCATCCTGCAAAGTGAATACCATAAGGTATTCACGAAGAGTCATTAAATAACATTCAGAATATTTGCTACAGCTGAAATGACTGATGTAGGTACATCGATTACTTACAGTTTACAACGGATTAACTTTCTAACAAATCATCAGATCGTGCGTATCCACCACTTCTTTATCGCTATCAGCAGAATCCGTTTCATAACCGATAGAACTTTTATACGGCCGCAATGAGTCAGCTGGTACCACTGCAACGAAACTCTTATAGTCTTTCATTCCCTTTACACTGCGGATCTTGTAACGATCGTTAAGATACACTTGAATAATTTTATAAGGTCCTGCATACATCTAATCAATCTTGCGACTGACGCCAGTCTCTGAATTTGTGAACGCATTATTCCACAACACTAATTCTCCCTTTCTATATTGCTTAGCTTCTATTCTACCTTCATTACACTTGGACTCCATATCTTTTTGTTTCTTTCTTATTTTTTCACTTGCCCTTTTACGCTTTTCTTTACAAGATTTCTCTAGACTATTACCAGTTAAATCAGGGACTAGCTTTTTCTTGTGTGCAAACATAAGTTCGTAAGGACTGTATTTCGTTGTATCATGTATTGTGTGATTAATTTCCATGACAATTTTAGAAATTGTAGCATCATATGCAGATGGTATCTGTGTGCTTGTCCGCAAGGCATCTAGCAAGGTCCTATTAACCCGTTCCACCTATCCATTGGCGCGCGGTATAGATATACCGTCAAGAGTGTGATGGATTTTATGAGTAATACCAAATTCCATGAAGTATTTACTCGTGAAGGATAGTCCTCTATAAGATATAATGCGGCTTGGATAGCCAAGGATGGCAAATAATTCACGTAATACTAAGACTGTTTCTACAGAACGGTTACTTCTTGTTGGTTTTACCGCTATAAATTTGGTGAATGAATCAATGATCACCATTACATACATATTGATTCCCTTTTGTGGATTTAGGAAACGTACCCATATGAT